TCTCTCTCTCTCTCTCTCTCTCTCTCTCTGTCTCGGATCAGACTCAGGACTTTGTGCTTGCCAGGCAGATACTTATGCTGCTGAGCTATCTCCTGGCCCAGGAACTTTCTATTTGTATCAGACCCTTAAAACTACTCAGAACTATTCTGTAGATATCTCCCTTCCTCTCATTAATTACCAGTCTAGCTCAACTGTGTAATTTAGAATCCACACAGCGCTCCTGGTTGCTTTCTGAATCACCTCTCACCCTATCATGCACACTCATACAGCACTGTCACGCTTATCTCTTGTCTTTGGTTCTCTAACAAATTAAAATAATTGATTAATTCAACAAGATCATCTGAAAAAACTAAGCACAATGGCGGTGGGTGTATACAGAAAAAAATGCCAGCTCATGTGCAAAGCTGGCTGATCTTCTGTGGAGACCTAGACTGAGGCCTGTGAGAAAAGCAGGCTTAGAAGCACAGGAAGAGCCTTCCAAGCAGAGCTCGCATGAAGTTGTGCAGCATATGTGAAGGATGACCATTCTGAAATATAAGATAGAGGTGAGAGAGAGAAAAAGAGGAAGAGTAGGCCACGACTTCAGTGTCAGGAGGGGGAATATGTTTTCCTGGAGAGAGGGCACTGTTGTCAGGGCAGAGAAGAAATGTGGGTGGGGGAAAGTCAGTGCTTTGTGGAAGTGCAGTGGCAAAACGGGCCTTCGGTGGAAGGATGAGACTCGGCAGAGGCAGCTAAAGGCTTGAACTCATTGTGACTGGTGCAGACTGAGGAGAAGGCAGCAAAGTTCAGGAACGCCATGGCTAAATTTGGAATGAGATGACAAGAGGACGTTCAAGATGGCATCCAAGGGCTGAGGGAGAGGAGAAAGATGGAGGAGGGCCAGGACGCTGCTACCCCCCATGTCAGGGGTAGCCCTATTCTTAGCCCCAGTATAAAATTGTGTGATGCAGTTTGTATCTTTTGGCAGGAGGAGAAAAGTTTAGGGTGGGACTTTCAAACTTCCATGTGCATAGAAATAATATAGAAATCGTGTACAAATGCAAGTACTAGTTGAGCGTTTGGCCCAGGGGAAGAGATTTTGCTGTCCTGGAGCTGCTGATGTGCAGGGTCTGGGGACCACACTGTCTGCAGTGGATACTAGAACATTTTTCTGCAGACAGGCTCAGCCGGAAGCCCAGGGGTATGGAAGACACTAAAACAGTTTCTCCTTTCTCACCCCCAGGGATTATCTTCCTGCCTGGGACCACCCAGCTGAAGTCCAAGGACATTCTCTACAGACTACGAATGTCTAACTCCCAGGCCATCGTGACCACAGATACTCTTGCTCCAGAGGTAGACTCTGTGGCCTCAGAGTGCCCTGCTCTGAAAACCAAGCTCCTGGTCTCCGAGCACACCCTTAATGGCTGGTTGGACCTCCGATCACTGATTAAGTGAGTTTCTGTCTGATGAATATGGTTTGTCAAAAAGGAATAGTGGGAGAACTTTCACTCCCAAGTGCCAGGAGGCAAGCAGGGAACTCACCACATTAGATGCCAGAAATCTTCTCTTCCCAGCTATGTGACTGGTTTGCTGTGTGACCCGTGGCTTATTCTTTCCATTCTCTGAGTCTCATCTGTAAAATAAATGTTTCTATCAGTAAAGTATACTCACCCCACAAACTGTAAGGAGGGTATATAAAATTAGAGGGCTGTTGTCTTATATATGTCTCGTAGGTAGAGAATCTAAAATCTTATTTTATTCATACAGAAATGTATATGACTGGGTATGGTGATATATGTCTATAATGCCAGCAATTAGGGAGGCTGAGGCAAGAGGATCTCAAGTTCAAGCCCAGACTGAGAAACTTAGAAAACCATGTCTCCAAATGAAAAATGGAAGGGATTGGGGGTATAGATCAGTGCAAAGCCCCTGGGTTCAATCCCTGGTACCATGAAAACTTTGCCTATATGAAGAAATGCAGTAAAAGATGAAGATGGAGATTTTAAGGTGAAGCTTGAGATTTCAAATCAGAGTAAATTGCAGCTGTGGTTTCCTGCAGCTCCAGGAGCAAGCTTCTGCCTCTTCCTGGCTGGGATCCTGAGAGACACCTTCACACAGGCCTACCTCCCACCACACCCACAAGCCGTGGTGGTAAAGCCTTTTATCTCAGCCCCACAGAAAAGCAGTACAGTGCAGTACACTTACTATGCTAAGTCAGAGAACTAAATGGAAACAGCTTAACATCACGAGCGCTCCAAGAAAAGGCAAGTTCCCAGAGACAGGATGGTGCCATTTTTCAGCAGAACCAGTATTTCCTCCAGCACGGGGATGATTTGCATTTTGCTTGAACACCACAGAATGCTTGTGTTTATGATCAAGGTAGGCCCTGGAGCCTTAGCCCTAGAATCCGAGCAGAAGGAGGCAGCCTGCCAGCTGGAGCCCGACAAAAAGCAGTGGTTGTGTTATTCTCTCCTCCCCACACCCAACACCAAGGTCATGGACTTATAGCAATGATAGCTGCATTTGCATGCTTACTAGTCAAGATAAGGAACCAGCCGAGATAGCCTCAACAGATGAATGGCCAAAGAAAAGGTTGTATCGTGGTAGAATATCATGCATCCATAAAGAAAAAACAAAATCATATCATACATGCTTTCTCCATATGTGCAATCTGAAAACAAAACAAAAACAAAAAATTGAAAAAGAAAAAACAGCTGGCAGCAAAATAGAAGGGGGAAGCAAAAGGGCAGTCAGAGAGGGGTAAGAGCAACCACAATGGATGTGCAGATACAAGTACAGTGAAGTCAAGGCCATCTTTCTGCATAGCTGATATACACTAATAAGATTGTGATATGACTTGTTTTTTAATTTCTGTAAAGCTATTTTGTATACCCATGTTGTTAGGAGCACAGCCATAGCTCAGGTTGTCTGGGTTTGATCTTGACTGTGCTCCATTTGCTAGCCATGCGTCTTCCAGCAAGTTATCAGGACTGGGTTCCTGAGTGACACCATCTCTAAGTCTCAGCTTCCCTGCCTGAAAAATGGGCCTACTTTGCAGAGCCCTCCCCTCCTCTGAGAATTGGCTGCATTCCTATCTACCAAGCACTTACAGCATTGCCTAAAACCGACAGGTGCTGTGTAAGTGTTTGCTGTTTTTTCCCCCTTATCAGCTAGAGACGTGCCAGTCCACGTGCCATCGAGCCAGGCTGTACAGTCCCTGTGCCGCCTGACACTGGGGAAGCCACGGCCTTGCAAAGCCCCAACTTCCTGACTCCATGCCCCAGGTGCTTCCCTTGCTTCCTCCCAGGAGAGAGAGTACATGGCTTTTTCTTTGTTGGTCCTGAATCTCTTTGCAGATCAGCATCCCCAGAGCACACCTGTATTAAGTCAAAGACTGAAGATCCAATGACCATCTTCTTCACCAGTGGAACCACAGGTTTCCCCAAGATGGCAAAACATAGCCAAGGGCTTGCTTTGCGCTCCTACCTCCCCGCATGGTAGGAAGATGCTGGGTCTGGGCCTTGGGGCAAGGGTTGTGTGCATGTGGGAGGATGGCAGGTAGGGCAGCACTCTCAACAGAAGAGCGTTGGGCCAGGTTCTCCCTTCTGCTCTCTGATTTCTGAAATACTGTGAGTTTCTGAGAGATGAAGGCTGGGAAAGGAATCTGAACAGGGGCAGAGATCCTGAAGTAACAAAGGAGGCCCCTTTGGACGCTATCTGGACACTTATTTATTTATTTATTTATTTATTTATTTATTTTGTGGTACCAGGGATTGAACTCAGGATCTTGCGCTTGCCAGGCAAGTGCTTATTCTACTGAGCTGTCTCCCCAGCCCCTTGGACACCTTTATAAAAGGCATGGAGAAAACATGGATAGACATTGCAGGTGTCTCCAAGCCACACAAAGGACAAGACATTATGTCCCAGACAGTGGCTCCACAGTTTAGTGGAGAAAGACAGAACATTCTGTGGGCAAATCAGACTTGGAGTTTCACAATCAGAAAGAGTTAGGGAAGAAAATAACTGGTCCGGAGCTACACCAAATTACTGCCCGACCTTGACCCAAGAACAAAAAGGCTGACACTCTTATCCTGGTTAATCATTTAATCTATTTCCAACCTCTTCTCCCCCACCTCCTTTTCTCCAATTAGTAATATTCAGACCAGACCAAATCCTATCCATTTTCCAGCTTATTAACTAGAACAAGGAACAGAGACAGCTTCTTGTGAGCAGGGCCTGTGAGGGCTAATTAAAACACTGAGTAGAAAGACTCCTGAAGGCTAGAGAAGGAAGAGCTAGCAGTGCATTTGGAGTAATAGAAGGGCTGGAGAGATGGCTCAGTGGTCTAAAGCACCTACTTGAAACAAGCTTGGCAAAGCACAGGGACCGCAGTTCAATCCTCCAGCACCACATGCCAGCCAGCCCCGCCCCCTGGTGGACTGAGCTGGCCACACACACACACAATAAATAAATGTAATAAATAAAAATAAATAAATATTTAAAAAAAAGAAAGAGAAGCATTTGAAGTAATAGACACAAAGGGACTGAGATGGAAAAGTAGTATCCTTAGAACTACAGGGATGTGAGGCTGAGGCTCAGCGTTCAGGGATAAGGACCAATGGGAAAAGTTAGAAAACCTAATGGGACCCAGATTGTGCAGGGTCTCAATGTAGAGTCTGGAGCTTATTAGGAAGCCAGTGGAAATGTAGTGAATGCTTTTTAGTCATCAAGAGGCAAAATCAGTCTTTTTTATGTAAAAGTCACTGTGGCTGCAGAACAGAAGTTGGGAAGACCAGGCAGAGCATTTAGAATAGTCCAGATACAGGATGGTGGTGTCCAGGACCTGCCAACTAAATGTGGGAAGCAAAGGGTGGGATTGAGCCTGACCCTCCCTGGTTTGGAGCCTGCACAGTGATGGTGTTCACTGATATATAGAGAACACTAGAGCAGAGGCCATTTGAAAGAGGCAAGAGATAGCAGGATCTCTGGGTTGGAGGTACACAAGACACACCTCAGAGAAGTCCAGTGGTCAGTTGGGTCTAAATGCAAAACAGAGGGTGCCTTGCTAATGAGTTCCTATAGGTGTTCCAGGTCCCAAGAGACATAGGATGAGTGAGCTTGGGGCTCATCAACACCCTTTCCTGCCAAAGCCATGGCTGACCAACAGGAGCATTGTGCGTTTCTAGAGGACCTGGGCTCACAGAGTCTCCCTCAGAAGCAGGAGGATAAGGGCAGAGAAGAAGGGACCTTTCCCACCCTACTTCCAGTAATTGCCTTTTGACTAATTGTTTCCAGTCTCCTGCCAATGCCAGGTATTAATTAGGACCCTGTCTCTCTCTGTCTCTGTCTCTATCTCTGTCTCTGTCTCTCTCTCTCTCTCTGTCTCTCTCCCTCTCGCTCTCCTCTTCCTCCTCTCTGCCCATTTCTTTTTCTCTCATTCTATATCTCCTTCATTGAGAACGACAAAAAACCCAGCCCAAGCCCTTTTAGGCAAAGACCTGCTGGCTTGTAAAGCACAGCAGAACACGCCTAGCTTCAGACAGAGCTAGTTAGAACCCAAATTAGGTTTTCATCTCTCTATCTCTCAGCTCTATTTCTGTTATCTTGATATTATTCCCGGAAAGCCTTGTCCAGTATTGCCCAAAACTGTCACCTAGGATCCTCAGGACTGCATCAGTAACTGATTTGGACACAGCAGAAAGGCAGCAGACACTGTCCTAGCATTCCGAATGAGGGCCTTCCACATCAGCAGTACCAACCTCTGGGTTGGGTGTGGTCAGGACCTATGGCCTGGTGGTAGAAAGTTGGGACTGGTGCAGGGAGATTCACTTGAGCCCCACCTACATTACCTGGGTTAGAGAGGTGACTCCCTTCTGAAAAGCAGATTCCCAGCCTTGCCCACCCCGTCCCACAACAGCACAGCTGAGGTCACTGCCTTTTGGAGTTAGCAGGAAATTAATGCAGCTGAAGACATCTGATATCCTCTGGTGCGTGTCAGACCCGGGCTGGATCCTGGCTGCCGTGGGGGGCCTGTTTGAGCCTTGGACAGCAGGATCTACACTCTTCATCCACCACTTGCCCCAGTTTGACCCCAAAATCATTATAAAGGTGAGAATACCAACATCCCACTACCCAATAGCTCCTAGAAGAAATGTGTACTTCCAAGCCAAAAGCTCAGCCTTGCTGAGAAGTATTCTATTAAGCAACGAAGTCCATCTGCATAGAATAGGCTTGGCTCTGGGATCCTCCCACTGAGGAGCAGGAATCAGGATCACTGTGCCAGAGTCACATCAAAATGTAATCTGGGAGAAAATGCTTATTTCTGGGCCCTTACTCTGACCTATGGGTCAAACTTTGTAGCTTTGGGGCCCAGAATACGCTGTTAGAGAAATTAAAGCAAGTCACTTGGATTGTGGCTTTGCTTAAGCTAGCTAGCTAGCTAGCTAGGGAATGTGTGTGTGTGTGTGTGTGTGTGTGTGTGTGTGTGTGTTTGTGTGTGTTGGCTACTCATTACAATAAGGCATATAAAAGCATGCTCTTGCAATATGACAGATTTAACATCTCCTATTCCACTTTTGAAATGTATTGGCAGGTCCCTGAACAGAACTTCAATTTCTTATCTGTAAAATGGATTTTTAATGACTACAAGTCCAATGAAAAAATTAAGGATATTAATGAGATGATGATACAGGAAAAGTATGATGAGGACTTAACCTCAAAGCCGGTATATAGAAAACATCCATAAGGGATAGCCACTGATGTTCTTTTATCATGAGCCCACTGTGGTGACAAGTGACATCACCTGCACGGACTCCCTCCTTTGCACATCTCTCTGATGGAAAATTCTCTTAGAATCTCCACCCCAGCCTTTTTTCTACCTCAGGGTCAGAGCTACCACTCTCTACAAGTGATGAGCACCCTGTTCTTTCCCCAAGCCTTGTAATAACAGCCTCTGCCTACGTATCTTTTGTCTGTTAGACCTTTCCTCCTGTATTTTCAACATACTGTATTGCTTTCCATTGACTCTACCCCTCTGCTCCATCCACAAACATGTTCTGTGGCTCCCTCCGAAAAATGCCTTTCCTTGATCACGCCACACATTGGATCAAGCCCAGCTGCCCGCACCTTTGCAGAACATTTTCTGCTTGCTGCAGTCACCCCTGAGTCACCCAGCTTACCGCTGAACTACCGTTCCCCCAACATCCTGCCCTGGCTTTCTCTCTCTTGCATCTCCTTCACCTCCATTTTTTCAGCAAGTACAGCAAGGCAGGTGGCTCCCAAAACTATGTGTGGTGGTGGTCTTTTCTCTTCAGGCTCATTCTCTAATGTGTCCCTGATAGGCCATCAAGGTTTTGTGGTCCCCCTTCCAGCACCTCTGACTGCACGTCCCACTCCCCACCCTCACACCATATCACCCACACGACCAACATCCTCCACTGTGCCACATCCTGCATGTAGACGTACAGTGGCACAAACCTCCTTGGTTCCACCAGGCCTAACTCTCCCCCTACTGCAGACTTTGTCCCCAAAGTCTTTGTGTATTATAAGCTTCAATAATTTAAAGAGTGTTAATCTATAAGTTTACCCTCAAAATGTGAGAGTTTACTTTGCTTTATTTCCACTCACTACTTTTGTGGGTTTTATATCATCTTTTCCATTTTTTTAGCTTATTTTAGATTCTACTTATGAAAGAAAGCGTGATATTTGGTTTCTTGGTCTAGCCGATTTCACTTGGCTTGATGATCTCAGTTCCATTCATTTTTCTAAAAATGACAAACTTTCAATCTCTTTATGGCTGAGTAATAGTTCACACATATCACACTTGCTTTATCCACTCATTTTTTGCTGGGTACCTACTGTTCCCATAGCTTGGCTGTTGTGAACTTTGCCACAATACACATAGGTATGCAGGTATCTCTATAATAAGCTGATTTTCATTCTTTCAGGAACATACCAAGGAGCAGGAGAGCTGGATCAATTAATAGTTCTACTTTTTAAGATTGTTAGGGAACCCCCCATACTGATTTCCATAATGACTGTACTAGTTTACATTCACACTAGTAGTGTGAGATTCCTTTTCCCTCCATCAGGATACCATCATTCATTGTTTAGTATATTCGTGTGTGTGAGTGTGTGTGTGTGCGTGTGCATGTGTGTGGTACCCAGGATCAAACTCAGGACTTTGCGCTTGCTAGGCAGGAGTTTATGCCACTGAGCCTTCTCCCTGGCCCTGTTTTTTGTATTCTTGACTCGATAGCCATTCTGACCGGGATGAAATGGAATCTCAAGGCAGTTTTGAATGGCATTTTCCTAACAGCTAAGAATGCTGAACAATTTTTTCATACTTATTGGCCATTTGTACTTCTTTAGAGAAACTTTTGTTAGTTCATTTTCCCATTTATTGCTTGAGTTATTTGGGTTTAGTATTAAATTTTTGATTTATATATTCTGGATATTAATCCTCTATCAGAACAATCTCTAGCGAAGGATTTTTTCCTGTCCTGTAGAATTCTTCATTACTCTGTTAATTGTCTGCTCTGATGTGCAGAGGCTTTTTAATTGGATGTGATCTCATTTGTTGATTCTTGCTATCACTTCCTATGCTGTTAGAATCCCGTTTGGAAAATCTTTTCCTGTCCCTGTGACTTCAATTGCTTCCCCCGTGGTTTCTTCCAGTGCTTTCAAAGCTTAAGGACTTCTGCTTAGGACTTTGATCCATCTTGAATTGATTTTTGTACAAAGTGAGAGACCGCAGTCTTGTTTCAACCTTCTACAGATAGCTAGCCAGTTTTCCCAACACTGTTTGTTAAAGAGACTACTTTTTCCTCCAATATCCATTTTTGGTCCTCAGCTATAGTTGTGTGTTTTTGTATCTTCTTTTGTATACCTCTAGTCTACATGTCTATTTTTGTGTCAGTACCATATGCTTTTGTTACTTGGGCTTTGCCGTATATTTTGATGCTGGGTATTTTTGAAGTATTTATTGTTTTGCTTTCTATTTTTGAAGATTTTTTTCTCACTCAATTATATAATTTCATTAATGTTAATCAAATGGACAAATAAGTTTTTATAATAAGTGGAGACATAAAATAATTCTATTCAAAAATAATAATAATTCTATCCAAAAACAATTTTGAAAAAAATTCTTAAAAGCAAAAGTAATACATCTGTGCAAATGTAAACAATATTTTAAAGCACCTCATCAAATCAATCTTCTAAACAAAATATCTTGCATAAATATGTATAATTCCATGTATGTATTATTGTATTAATATCTTATTTATGTTTTAAAATATATCCTGGGGTATTTGTGATGATTGAATTATTTTCAGTATGTTTCTAGTATTTTAAAATTTTTCACAAAATTGTCTGCAACCTTCTGTGCATCGTCTTGCAGGTGATGAATTATTTTTTCCTGCATCCTAGTTGTTTTTTTATTAAGAGATATTGACTATCATAGTTAATTGAAATTTACTCTTCAAATTCATGAAGCAAAATCTTCTTTCCACTTCCTCTCTACCCACCCACTCCACTTATTACCAAATCTGTTGCAAAAGATTCCTGTTCCTTGCTCCACAACCTGACTAAAAGCTTCAAAACACCAAGATGGGTCCCAAATTATAACTTGGGTGATAAGAACCAGAGCCCATCTTTGGTGAGCACCTACTAAGCCCCAAAGCACAAGAACTGTAGCAACATCAATTATCTCGAACCCTTACCTGCCAAGCAGTGTTCCCTTGGCTATCAGCAATGCTAACTCACGTCAACGTAAGCTAATGAAAATGCTATCCCTCCTCATGGTGCTCCTTCACTTAGGATGAAACAACACTCCACGAGCATATTATGAATTAAAGACAGCATAAGTTTAAAGTGCTCTCAGTGCATTTAATGTTGACATCCTGTTTTAGAACACAGCCCCATGGAAAAGATCCAACTCTGGAAGTCCACTTACTGTCTCCTAAATGAGCATTGCTTTCTTACTGTCGTACATCTGAAATATCGGAAGTCAAGAATTGTGAGCCACAGACCTTCTGTGTCTGAGTAGGGGACACTGAGACATCTCACAATCATGGGGGAAAGGAAAAGTAACTGAGCCTGGCAAGGGCCAGGAGCAGCACTCAGAAGACCTCAGGAAAGAGGTAGATTCTAGGCTCTGCCTTGCTCCGTGCTTTAGCTCCCTTCTATTCCTAGATCTGCTTGTGCATCTTCACCTGCACAGGGCTGAGCCGAGTAAACCCATCATCCTGAATTAACATTGCCCCTTCCCAGATGACCAGGACAGAGGGACTAGACACTGAGTGACCCAGCCTAAAGCTGATGCCTGTCACCAAGCCACTGATCCACTCTCATGTGCCCGGAGCCAAGTAACAGACTCATTCATACAGACAGGACAAGGACATGGAAAGGGTCCCTGTGGAGTGGGAACAGTGATAGCACTCGGTCCAAGTGAAATTTACAAAAAGAAAATCAATGTGAGACAATACAGAGATTGAAGCCAGAGATTCAAAGCTGATTGTGTCCAAGGAAGAGGGCCTGAGAGTGAGGCAAATGGCTTCCAACATGCCTGCCATGCTATCCCTCCTCATGGTTCTGCATGTGAACACTTTCACTTTGTAGCGAAGAAAACCAAATTACATGGATTTAAACTCATTTCCAATAGACCCTAAACCCACTTTGTCTTCTCTTTTCAGTTTCTTTCTCTCTTGGCCTTTCTCCACCCTGTTTGAAATTTTGCAGCTTTCCATCTCTAATAAGTAATGATGACTACGGGACACTTTAGACCCTACATAATATGGTCAACTAACCTCAGCCTCCTTAATCTGAGCCCTCGTGCCTCTTCTCTGTGTCTAAGTAAGTGATATTATCTGGCTGGCTGGCTGAAATGTATCTTCAACTCCCCATTTCTCTGCCTGTAATGTCCCTTGCTAATGGCCCTACCAAGTTCTGCCTCCTCCATAAGCCCCTGGACCACAAAACTCAAAGGACTATTTATTTTCCTCATTCATGTTCTCATAGAACCATCTTAGAGCCGGGGAGATGGCTCAGTGGAATAAGTGCTTCACTGGCAAGTGCAAGGGCCTGAGTTCAATCCCGGGTTCCACCAAAAAAAAAGCAACAGTTCTACTTAATAAAGCTCCTAGCAATTCTAAAAACTGTTGCAATAAAGCAGGTTTGAGATGATTCATAGAACCATGTTTCTCTCCCTGCTATGACATCTGCCAACTTCTGTCTCATCACCTGAGTCCTATTATGTTTCCTCTATTAGTATTTTCTCTGTAAGATCTGGAACATTCTCTCACTCTTCATGTTCTCCCTGACAGTACTCAACATGTGCCACAAGTGAAATTCATTGATATTTCAGTATATTCAGTGTACTGAAAGAACTAACAGATGGATGAATGGGCTCTTCTATAGGGGGCATCAGAACTAAACTCATAATTGGCTGAATTTTTTGAAACTTTATTATTTAAAAAAAAACCTTTATTATTTTAAAATTTCCTCCTCTCTTCACTTTCCAGGTGTTATTCAAATACCCCATCACCTACTGCTTAGCTGCGCCAGGTGTATATAGAATGATTCTGCAGCAGAAAGAGGCCAAGTATGTACAAGCAGCTGGTAACAGCAATCTTTGCATAGGGTTTTAAGGGATGTTATGTGTCATGCGTTGACTTTTCTTTCTGGTTCTTTGAGGAGTGTGTCTGCGTGTGTGTTGATAATAATCACTCTAATTAGCTAAATTAAAAGTTTAACTCAGAGACCCAAAAGAATCGCTGAGTCTTGCAGCATTGTGGGTTTATTTGCATGGTTTTATTATGAAATAACAGAGAAAAATGCATAAGGTGGAAGTGCACAGATTAACAAGCTATTAAGAATAAAAATGTCATTGTACTAATTAAGCATTTCACAAAAATAAGTGATCAGCATCCCAGAGACTTCCACATGCCTCCTCGCCTCCCCTGAAAGAAATCATTATCTCAGTGTTTACACTGTTTGCTTCAGTTTCAGTCCACTTTCCTGTCGCAAAGATGTAATACCCTACAGTCTTACAGGGGGAGACATTTAATTTAAGCCCATGGTTTCAGAGAATTCAGTCCATGGTTTCCTGGCTGTGAGACAGAAGCATGCTGGCACAAGGGCATGGTGGAGCAGAGCTCTTTGCTCAAGGGGGCCTGGAAGCTGAGCAAGGGAACAGCACAGAGAGGAAGGGCAAGAGCCCAGACATAGGTCCCAAAGTCGGGCTTCCATAACCAACCCAGACACATCCACAAGTATTCTCTTCTAACCCCACTGGCATTTCTTAATCCAGTCAAGTTGGTTTATCATAAGCAATGATCACAATTTCCTTACTTCCCTTCTTATAGCTTCTAAGGCAATACCTTTGGACATATAAAATCATTTTCTATGCTTGTGAACCTTATGTATATAGTAAGAATACACAATTTTATGACATTTGGCTTTTTTTTCAAAACATTATTTTTCTAAGATGTGTCCATGTTGTTGCATATTCCTAAAGTTAGTTTGTTTCCATTGTTCCATGATATTCCAGTTTATGAAAACACCACAATTTTTATTAGTCCAACCATTAATGAAGATCTGGAAGAGGGTTTGATGATTAGCAGCGCACTGAACTCTAGTACTTGCTCCCTGATGTATATAAGTATCCATTTCTGATGCATCTTCTAGCAGAATTATTAGGCCCCACTGACAATGTACACTACCACACTATTTTCCAAAGTACACAATATGTGCTTCCGCTAGCAAAGTAAGAGAATATCCATCATTCCTCATTATACTAGAGTATTCATTATTGTCAAACTTAATTTTTGCAATCATAGATGTGTAACACCATCTAACTGCAGTTTTATTTCTGCATGTCTCTGTTTGAGGGTTAATTTTTAGCTAATATGAAATCTGTTCTTTAACCCTTACAGTCATTTGTGTTTTGTTGTTGTTGTTGTTGTTTTGTTGTTTTGTTGTTGTTGTTGTTGTTGTTGTTGTTTGGTGGAACCAAGGATTAAACTCAGGACCTTGCACTTGCCAGGCAAACGCTTAATCTTCTGAGCTATCTACCCAGCCCTCATCTTTGTATTTTTAAGAGACTCTGAAATTGAAATAGTCACTTCAAAAAATCAGAGAGCTCACATGTCCTGTAACTGTGAAGGAGTTTAGTGACACTTTTACAAAGCTAACTGAATTACAATTTGGTTTCACTTGTGAAGCCTGAGTCTGGCTGGATCCTGTTTCCATCTGTATTTCAGAGTTCATTTATCATTTTCTGACCGCTAATTTTTGCAAAATCCCTCAGAAGATGATCTTTGTCTAAAGCCAGTGAAAATCCAACAGTGCACATTTAGTGATTCCCCAGGGACTGCCTACTTTCTGTACAGGAGGTAAAACTCCAGGAGGAGGAGGAAGAGGAAGTGGACGAACCCTCTTGTCTGTCTCTGTTGACTCTGTCCCAGGAGAGAAAGATGAAGAGGGGCATAGTAGGACACCACTAGATGAGACCTCAACCATTTCTCTGCCAATTTCTTTAGGGTATCCAATCATTATTTTGTGATTCTTTAAGTTTTCTTTAAGGAAACTTCATGAGGAACTGGAGGAGAAAGTTTACACCATGTGGTGCTCTGGTAAACTACTATAAGCATCGCATCAGCCCTTAGTGGTCTCTCCAAATTCCATTTCCAGTGACTCTTCTGCTTTTCCTACAATGGGCCCCATTTGGGGACTCGTGTTTTGAGCAGATGATACCCAAACCCTAATTTTCACCCAAACCCAATTTAGAAATACAGAAGTCCTTCAGTTAATAGAACCCTGCACTCACAGAAGACAATGTAAATCTGTTACCATCAGAGTGTGTCCCCTGGAGTCTTGTCCCCAACCTCTTTATGGTTTAGGGTTTTCTAGCCACACAAAATGCTTCCCTGAGATGAGTTCCAATGAACACACTTTCTCCCTCTTGTGACATCAAAACCAAATTTAACACAGACTTCCTTGTTTTAACCCAATACCATCACCACCCACACACCTCTCTACCAAAAAAACAGAACTAGGATGGGTGGGAAGGGACTGGCACCGCTTAGCCTTGCCCATCAGGCAAATGACCAATAGGGAGCTAGGAAAGTGAAGAGCTGAAGGATGGGTGATGCAGATGCCTGAGCCATGGGCTCTGAGTGTGCTGAGCAGCAAGGCCTGGTCCTTTGTCTTCCCCCAAAGCCTCAGGTTCCCCACCCTGAAGCACTGCTACACTGGCGGGGAGTCTCTGCTGGCTGAGGAATTTGAGCAGTGGAAAAAACATACGGGCACCCTGCTTCGTGAGATCTACGGGCAGTCAGAAACAGTAAGTAGACAGGCCCCTTCCAGGCCATTGGGGCACACTTGGTCACTGTGCTCAGCGGATGGGTGGAGTCATTCCTGTGCAGAGGCCCCAGTGTGTGCACAGCATTGCTCAAAGCCAATGGAAGTCTCATGGCTCAAAGTTAATTTGCCACAGTTTGCTCTGCAGGAAGACAACTCATAGCTCATCAACTCACCAAGAAAACAACATGCTAAAAACTACTGGAGGGCTGGGGAGATGGCTCAGTGGAATAAGCGCTTCCCTGGCAAGCGCAAGAGCCTGAGTTCAATCCCTAGTTCTGAAAAAAAAAAAAAAACTACTGGACAAAACTTAAAAAGGGATCTAGTGGCATTTTTCCAACTTTGACCTATTATTATTAGCTCAGGGGAGTCCAGGAGAAGTGGTAGGGTAGGAGGATCTCTCAAGCAACATGGAAACCACAAGCTCCATTATCCCATCCCAGGGTGACAGTGTGCAGAAGCAGGCTGGGACCAGCTCCAGCGTTCATATATGGGTGTCTAGGAGGGTGACACACACAGGTTTGACTGTGGGATACTAGTTAGAGTGGACAAGAGGCAGAGACTTTCGGTATCATCCACCACACACATACACACATGTGCACATTCAGTAAGATTCTAGGCTAACTTGAGCCACCGAGTTAGCTGCACATGTAGACTATCACGAGTGTCTCTAACCTCAAGAGTTTCATCAATGACAGTGTAGGTGGGGACCATTCTTCCAGCACATTCTCAACCCATTTCTAGTGCTGGACAGAGACACTTGCCTACTCACTTTCCCATTATCCCTCTAGCTAACAGAAGGTGACTGCCCTCCCACACAGTGAGATTCATATATTTATCTGACTTTTTTAATCGGTTGGCTGAAATACTTTCAGACCCAAGAAATGCTAAGACTCTGGGTCTGTTGTTGAGTGGCCAACAGTTTATAGTGGGAGCAATATACATTACCCACAACCCTCCCCCTCACCAGTTGTTTGCCACAGTAGATGATGCTTTCTTCCTGAAAGCCTATTTTCCACACACTTGCCAACAGTGTAAGCAGTGCCAAGGCAGAGCAGAGAGAAACTCCCCTGCCTAGAGCTCAGCCCTAGACTCAAGACTCAGCCTTGTTCATTACAGAACTCAAAACCATGGGTGAGTTCCAACTTTGCCCCTTGAAACAGAAATGCCAATTCCAGTCTTGCCAAATAAATGAAGGGTATAAAGCTCTGGCCAATGTCTGTCCCATAACCCATGCTCACACTGACGTTACTATCATCGTTGACATTTTTAGGTAGGTGTTCTGCCTGAATCTGAGAGCACAGAAGTGACTGGATAATCTCTACTCTTCTGATGCTTGTTATCCATCAAGAAAAGAAAGACAAGCAAAAATAATCTGAGTGTTCTGTAGGCTACCATAGAAGCACTGTGTAGAGGAAAGTATTCCAAAAGGAGAATGTTCAAGGGACTTAGATGAGGGCTGGACAACAGCTAGTAGGAGTCCTTCATTGAACATTTGGTGTGTGCTCACAATGGGCAGTTTCTCACCCACTTGCAAGGACCACAGAGGCCCCCTTCGGTGGAGGAGATAAAGGCCACTAATGACCCCAGTTAGCACATGGTGATCTATCTGTCCTAAATCATTCAGCTGTTGACATAATGATAAGGAGAGAATGGTTCAAGAGGGGCCAAGTCCATCATGAAGAGTGGAAAGTGCAGAGGGAACTGGTGCACAGAGCCGAGTTGTCTCAACATGGCCCCAAGGAGGAGCTCAGGCAAGATTCCAGTCACAACTCAACTGCGCTAAGTAACTGTGTATGAAGTGAACTCATGAACCTCCCCTAGCAAGCTGGCATGTGCCTGGCACACAGTGAGCACTCCATGCCATGGGACACGTGCAGCCCCCCTCAGCCTTGCCCCATGCTTGTTCCTTTGGCTTCCTCATGGGGCACTCAGGGATGCTTAGTGCAGACCCAAGCCCTACTGAGTGCAGCACTCATCCTCCAAATGGAGTGGGGTCAACACTCTGAGCCTGACCCCCAGCCTCAGGCTTCCCCACGAGGGCTCTCTTGTAGCATCAAATGACAGCTGTTGGGATACGGCATAGGACAATGACAGCTGTTGGGACATGGCATATTCCTCTTGCTGCTTTGCAATCAGCCTGAATTCACCCACCACCCTCAATGTCTGTCTTTCATCAACAGGGAATTACTTGCGGTGTCCTCCAGGAAATGAAGGTCAAGCCAGGCTCCTTGGGGAAGGCCATCTCACCCTTTGACATCCAGGTCTTCTCCCAAGGGTGTTAGCAGGAAGCACTGGGGGCTGTTGGGGTCACACCTGCACATGACACCAGCTGGCAGAACCAGCTGCATTTCCTTGTCCTGGTTGCCCTTCTTCCTCCCCTCCTATTTTCCTCCAGTTTTTTATGGAGGCTTCAGTTGAGAACTGCATTATGGTGAGCACCAGTGCAGCTCACACTGGCAGCCAGAGGCGCTGCACACAGGGCGTGGAAGGACGAATACTTGGACCCAGCATTGGCAGCTCTCTAGTGCTTTTCTTTTCTCTTGGTCAGTGTTTTCTGGCTTAAGGGCACATTGATGGTGTCTTGATACCCATAAGACAAGTAGACCTCTGGCATTTCACATTTGCTGATTTCAAGGATTCTAACAGCCTTATTTCACTTTCTTTTTAAAATTTATTTATTTATTTATTTATTTATTTATTTATTTATTTGGTACAGGGTCTTGCTGTGGAGCTTGGATCCTCCTGTCTTAGCCTCCCCAGTATTGGGATTCCAGGCATATACGAGCGGTTTTGGTGGCCAGCATAGCATGCCTGAGGTTCCACAACCAGCAGAGCATGCAGTGCTGGGGATTGAACCCGGGTCCTTGTGCTTGCCAGGCAGGGTTTTAGACCACTGAGCTATCTCCCCAGCCCATTTTCTCACACCTTCCATTAGGGTCCATTTTTTCCTTGTGGGTATCCCAGAAATGAAATAGGCAGTGCTTGGACATTGTCAAAGGGCTGGGGGAATCCTTCAGGGTGAGATCAACAGGCTTCTTGTTCCAGATCATCGACAACCAGGGCAACGTCCTGCCACCTAACACTGAAGGGAATATTGGAATCAGGATTAAGCCCACCAGGCCTGTGGGTCTCTTCATGTACTATGAGGTAACAAAACCCCATCCCCCACTCCTGGCCCCAAGAAGCCTAGCAGGAGCTCTGCATCCTGAAGCCTCTTCAGTTTGTCCTAGATTTGTCCCAACTGGGTGAAGCCTATTTTAATTACACTCACACTAACAGTACATTTCCACATCCCTTCATATCCTAACTCTGATGAGACTTAAGGGCTGAAGAGTAGAAGGCAGATTGGCTTTAGAACCCGACTTATATATCTTGAGGTCATGAATATAGGCCTCAATTGGGCTCAGGTAATCCCACTCCCTTAACCAGTAGCAGAATAAACAGATCTCTTACCCTAACTGATCCTCCAGAGAGCCCTGTGAGCCTGAGTCTATAAAGAGAAGTCTCAGGTTGGAAGCATTATGTGTCCTCCCCATGTCATATAAGCAGTAGATCTAGGATCGAAATCCATGCCTTTGGCCCTACAAACCCTAAGTGAGAAACTCAAGAGTTGAAGAAATGCTGAGTAGGTAACAAGAAACCTGCTGAAACTGTTCATCAGATACAACCCAGCCATCCTAGGAAGGTAGAGGCCACCAAAGGGAAATTCTTGGCTTACAAGATAGGTTGGCTGTAGAAGGGAGGCCCGACCTTGAAACAGATCTCAGGCACCATCTTCACGCTCCAAAGGCTCTTCCCTGGAAGTTGTCCTGGTGTCACTCTGTCCATGCACAACAGCCTCCAGGGAGTACTGCCTGTACACATTGTAAAATCTCAAATGATTGTAATGTGCAGGGGCTTAGAGAAATATCCCATGCACACACACACACAAATATACACACAAGTGTTTGTGCGCACACACACATCAGAGGTTCTCAAAGATGCTAACACATTATATAACATAGGTACAATTTAAGAGAAATATGCAGAGTCCACAAAAAGTGTGTATCAGGAAGACAAATACTTGTATAAATATTTTAATACAAAATTTATTGAGACATCATAAGATTAACACAAGTTAGCTTTGGCCTTTATAAAAGGAACTCAAAGTAAAGGCCTTTAGCTCCCAGACATTTATTAGTAAAGCAAACTGCTGATGTGTATATACACTTTTGGCAGGCTATATACACACAGGAGGATGTATATATACGAATTAAGCTAAGGCGCGGCTCTGTGCTGTTTGGGGAAATGTTTACCACAGAGAAGCAGCGCCTTCTTGAGGCCATGGTGCTGTTAGTGCTCCCTTGAGCTTCCTTTGTGGTTTTTATTGAGGTGAAATACAGTATAAAATTTACATTTTCCACCATTTTTGAATGTACAATTCAGTGTCATTAATAAATTCATAACTTTTGCAACCATCACCATTATCCACCTCCAGAAAATTTCTACCATTCTGAAGAGAAATTCTGTATTTGCTATTTAAATAATAACTTCTTCCTCCTTCTCCTCTTCTTCCTCCTCCTCCTCCAAGCACCCAGAACTCATTACCTCTAATCTTTTTTTTTTTTTTT